AAAAATAAAAATTATAAATATAACATATTTTTTATTTTACATACAAAAAATTAAAAATTAGAAAAATTATTTATTATTATACATATAAAAATAAAAAAAATACATATAAAAAATGTTTTTATATGTATATTTTGGACTACATATAAAAAGTGTCTGTTTGGTTTTTGGACTACATTGAGTAGGTAAGTTATGGACTTCAAGTGTCTTCTGTTGGTGGCAAACTGGCTGGTGAACATATTGGCGAATTGGTCCCAATTTTTTATGGAACCTGGGGCCAACCTTGAGTACTAGAGCCAGGCCTCTTCTTTTAATGTGGTTGGGTAAGCGATACACATACTCACATCTTTAGCTTTGTGGAGTAACATTAGAGCTTGAAAATTGTTTGCATGTTCATTTGGATTTGTGGTTCCCTTGTATGTCTCAAAGGGTGGTGCCTTGAAGTTTTTAGGTCTTGGCACCCTAACATTAGAGCTTGAAAACTACTCTGCTATTTACCTTACTTCCTTATTGTTTTCTTTTCTTCCTGATGCTTCTTTGGTTGGAGCAAGCTGGCTTTTCTTCCTGGCACGGTGAGCATGTCTCCCGCACTTTTTCTTTGTTCCTACAGACGAGTTGGCGGCCTCAGTCTCAATGGGAGCCGTAGCTCAGCTTTCCACCAGTAGTTGATTATTGTTGAGAACCATGTCATCCACGCAAGGCCGATTGTTGGTTTTTCCTGGTACCCTGTTGGAGACCTGGACATGGTTATGGACTCGAGATGGAGTCAATTCGTCGTGGCCGACCTGATTCAGGCCAGTGTTTTGTCGGGGTACCTGGTGGAGAGGTACCCAATGGTTGTGTTAGCGTACTTGCCCCAAAGGCACTTGCCCCAAAGGCACTTGCTGTTGTTGTTGCTGCCTTGCTACAGAGGCGAACTTGTTTTCCTCTAGGATTTAAGTTGCTCACTCATTCCCTACATGCATTGCACCAGATCATAGAACTAGCGCGCATCAACTACTATAGGAGCCGCTGCGTGCTCTACTACAGGAGGAGGTGCGTTCACATTTTCTAGTACAGTAACGGGGTGCAAAGGAATGTCGATTTGTCCAATAGTAATAGTGGGGATTCGGCCATTATAATTGTCGTTATTGTTGTTACTAGCAAGCTGATTGCTTGAGGAGGCCATTTTTAACTTTTAAAGACAATAATAGAGAATTTAGCTTTTGTAGTGTGTTTCTAGAGATGACGCCAATTGATGTCGCGCAATATGGACGCTCTCTCATGTGTAGTGACTCAGACTCCAACTAGATGTTTATCTGGTTGGGCCGAGTTGATATTCGGATAACTGAGCTGATATGTGCTACGAGAAATAGAAGGTGAGAGTGCTCGGGTGTCTTTTACCTGGGGAGGGCACTCCGATACTCAAGTTAATAGACTCTCAAAAGTTCTTTGGAAGATTGAGAGAGCTTTAGAAAGTTTTGTGCGCATACCTTTTGAGTGGGATTGGGTGCCTTTTATAGGTCCCTGGGCTCAGGGGATCCTGAGTAACGATCTTGAGCCCCTTGTGGAGCTGTTTTCCACTTTTCCTGGTGTGTTAATGTGTTAGTTACGAGATTCTCGCGAGGTTACGATCTGTCTGAGTGAAGTTGAGGCGTGTAATGGGTGAGCTGTTCTAACGGTCATGCTATCGGCACCTTCGGCAGTGAACTGCTGGGGACGGTTAGTGAGCTCTTCCTCGCAGGTTGCCTTAGGTCCTCTCAACTCAGCCAGCTCCTAGAGCAGGTCATCGTAATCTTATGGGGTCTGCCAGTTCAGCCTTGTCGAGGTGGAGGTCGGCCTGAGCGAGGTGCTCCAAACTAACTTACCGAGATGGTCCACTGACTCAGTGTCGAGATGTCATCTGGAAGCCGCATGTTTCCGTGCGATTGGGAGAACCAAATTATCCCTCATCAAGAATCTTCTCTCTCTCTCCCTCTCTCTCTTTCTCTCTCTCTATACCTGAAATAAATATCTGGACATGAAATGAAATTGATTGAACTTGTTAAAATTCTGGACAAGCAACCTCAATCAAATTTTAATAAATCAATCTCTAGACTGATTCAACTTATTGAAAGAATTAGTCAGCTATCTCTAATGGATTATAGTACCCCTCAAATCTTAGCTGATAATGATTAGAATTCCTTACCATATAAGAATTCAACAATTACTATAGGTAACATAGTTCATGTTTTTCAGTAGAAGAGTTCTGAAATCAATTTTGTTGAACAAAATTTGTCTATGCTTGTTATGATTTGTTGAATGGAAAAACTGGCCTTAAAAAGTTTGAAAAAATGATCTTTTAAAGTTTTCCAGAATATGACAAAATTAAATTGCTTTAAAATTTATAGAACACTATAAATAACCATCACACTCTTATTTGTCATTAGTAGGGACAATATTTCAGGCTCTTACCAATAAGAACCAAAATAATCAGCACATAAGGTACTCTATACAAAAATAGTCCAGGTAAGTATTACAAGTCTTTCTCTATAAACTTCCAAAAATTATACAATCACAATTATATATTTTTTAATATGTATTGCTTACATGTAGATTATTGCATTTATATTATACGAATTCTTTGCTACAACTATGTTACTACATACCAAAAATAAAATAACTCATTAAAGGTAATTTTCAAAAGAGATGCGTGCAACAAAAAATGAATATGGAAAAAGAAGGTATTGAAAGACTATTGCAGGAAAGAAGGAACCAATATACCCAAAGTGTTATTGAAAATACTAGAAAAAAAGAACATAAGAGATGTTAAGTCTTTAAATACTTTCGATATGATACCCAATACCAATACTTTAATCTTTGATTGGAATAGGTAGGGATGATCATTTCAGCCCGGTTCAGAAATTTGGGGCTTGGGCCTGGGTTTTGTGTTCAGGCCCAACCCGGGCCTGGGCCCACATCAGGCTTGCAAAGTTTAGGGCCGGGCTTGGGCTTAATACTTCAAGCCCGGCCCGGCCTGGCCCGCATATATTTAAACTTACTGTATAATGTATTCATATATATATATATACATGTTATTTTACATTGTATTATATATTTTATATATAAATATTATGACATGACATGTATAATTTATATTATATGTAATATTTTATATTATATAATGTATAAAATAAGTTTATATGTATGTTATGTCATTTAATATATAGATATATAATGTTTTATATATGAGTGACATTGGCCCAAAATCAAACCCAGCCCAGCCCAACTCGGGCCCGTATAAACCTGGCTAGGGCTTATGTTTCAGGCCCGAAACCCTGGGCCGGCCCGGACCAGGGCCCAACCCTAAGCTATAGCCCTTATAATAAGTGCAAAGCTTGGATCGGGCCCAGCCTGGCCCATCTTTTGATCACCCCTAGGAATAGGACTTGGGGGTCAGAAATCTACTTGAAAAGGAAAGTGTGTAAAAGACAATATTAGCCCTCATTAGTCAACTCCTATTGTATTATGACTTGAGAGTTGAGAGGATTTTCAATTCCTAATTCATCTATTCTTCTGTGTGCGCATGTGTAATAATGGGTCAATGAACGCCCAACACGACAAGGGGACAAATGGGAGCCCGGATCTCCTGCCCATAAGAACCCTGTCTACATTTATTGCAACTATACATGGAAAACATCTCATTCTCTGCATAGATTATGCAGGGGGAGATGTTCCCAATTCATGGGGGGTGGTGTATTTTGAGTAGGCGTGGGCTGAAGATCCAGAGTCGTGTAATGGGCAATTGGGCATATACAGAATCGTATTTCTTCTTCTCTCCAACTGCTTGCTCTACTATTCTCTTTCTATATATATTTGAGCCAGTTAGGGCTATTCACAAGTCAGGTTGGGTCGGTTTATTGGCGTTTTTCCAACTGACCCAACTTGGTCGGTTTACCTATAAATAAAACCGAAGCCGACCCAGTACTAAGTAAAACCGACTTAGTCGGTTTGAATCGGTTTGGGTCGGTTTTGTGAATTATTATCTTGGTGTGAACGATAAAGGATTCAAATATAAGAAAGCAAAGGCTAGATGCCTGAAAATTAAAAATGATTTAATGGATTAAAATTAATATTTTATATATAATATGTATATTTCTGAAATAAAACTGAAATATATATATATATATATATATATATATATATATAATATTTTAGATATATTATATATATAATATATATCTAAATCGGTTCGATTTCGATTTTCACAGATGAAAATCAAAACCAAACCGAACCATCGATTTATATTTTTTTATAATCCAAAACCGACCGATGCTGAAGAAAAACCGGCCAATTCAAATTGAATCAGACTGGATTGGTCGGTTTGGTCGGTTTAGATCTTGTTATAAACAGCCCTAAGCCAGTCTTAATTGTGATGTATCAGCGTGGCTCTAAAAACAAATTGCGATGCATCGGGCGAAGTTATTTTCAGCGAAGGAATGCTAGTATTCAGAAACACTGATTCCGGAGATTCAACGGAAGGTAATAAATCTCTATCTCCCTCCATCCGCTTCTCTGTTTTCCCTCTTTCTTTTCACGCCGAATGGAATTGATTAGGGTTCAAACTTCAAGCAAACGAAAGTTGAAATTATTGATTCGCTGATATCTACAGATGCCAACGAAATTTTTTAATTCTTTCGTCTTTCTCCATATGTTAGACTTCTGTGTGCTGTTTTTCGTTTCTTATTCAGTCATTGATCTGTTTTTTTTTTTCCATCTTCAAATGGAAAATAATGACAGTGTTATTTTACTCATGGAGTTCGTCGACTTCCATAGTTATTAGTCGGTCTGTTGAAAGATGAGCCCTAGGCCAGGCCCCAGATGGTTTGACTTGAACAAAGAATCTCAGAAGTAGGTGTAGGTCCACGATTTTGTCGCCTATTAAGGGAATGGGCCCCTTCTCACGAACGAACATACCTTAGATTCCAGTGTAGAGTCCACTTGTTCAGGAAAATATCCCCTTTATGCCCATCGAAAAGCCACACCAGATCATCAGTGGCTACGATCTGATCTGCCCAATGCTGTTTTTCCCGAGAAAACAAAGGATTTGGAGAAGAAAGCAAACTATAGAAAGAAAACAGAGGCTACTCTGCAGAGAAGAGGAAGCATTGCAGTGATCATCCTAAAATCCATCCATATAATACACTATTACCAAAAAATTACGCTCTTTGATTAAGAAGCTGGAAAGCTCATGGCGTCCATCTGCTAAGCTTTAAGGAAATTTGCTTTCACTGCAAATCTTCAATCCACATTAAACATCATACTGCGTCTAAGCAACGGCGGTTGAACAATATTTCATACGGCTTAGTGGTTTCTCATCTGAGTCATCTCATCGGAAAGAAAAGCAAAGACGGTGTCTCAGCCGACGAAGCTCCTTTTCACATTGAAAATCGGTACTCGGTATGCTGTTTTTATTTAATAAAGAGAGAGATTAGTTTAGTTTCACATCTGCCATCCATGATCCAGCCAACCATTCTTGCTTGCAATGCCCCTAATCGAAGAAAGCACCTTTAAAGAAACTCAACTTGAGAATTTCTCAGCTAATCAAAATATAAAATCTCCTCTGTTTCCATTTCTTGCAAATGGTTTTGGATTCTGACCGAGGGGTTAGGGCTCTGCACGAGAAGCTCATTAATGGCTACCGCACCTCACTGAGGAAGACAGGGCGAGGGTTTCCCTACAATTTTTTTCCCTCTTTTGACTTTTCTTTATTTTGTCCCGCGATCGAGATTTGTGAGGGGTTTAGAATTTTTCTATCGGTTCAGTTTACAAATAATTTATAGGGTAAAATATATTTCGCTCCGCTGATGTTTCTCACAATCATAAAAACCTCGCTGTTTCATTTTAACAAATACCTTTCCTGAACTTTTCACATACTCGACAAAAGCCCTCTCTTCCGCCACTATCATGAATGGAAAATTTTAGACTGATGCATCAGTTTTTTCAAAATATTCATTTTATCCTTTTATAGATTATTTTATATATAATTATTGAAATAATCCTATTTTAATTCAATAAAAATATATATTTCAGTAATTTAGATGATCGTTAAAGAGGTTTTTGTTGAATTAAAATGAAATTATTTTAGTAATTTTGTATATAAAATAATTTATAAAAGGGTAGAATGGGTATTTAAAAAAAACTGGTGTACCAATCTAAGTTTTCTGTTTGGGACTATGACACAAGTAAGGTTTTTTTTGAATTTCTTAAAATTTCAGGGGAAGTATTTATTAAAATGTAACTATAGGGGAGGTTTTTATGATTATCAAAAACTTTAGGAGGTTTTTATATTTTACCTTATTTTATAAAATTTAATAGGTTGTTGCAGCTTGCAGGTGACCAGTTGAGTAGGGATTGACGTGTCAAAATTTTAGGCGATATTTGGTTTAAAGAAAAATGTAAGAAAAGATAGGAAAATTTATCCAAGGTTTGTAAAAGTTTTCCTCTCTTTTCTTTCTTTTCCCTATTTTGTCCTTCAAATCAAACATAACCCTAATGGACTAAGTCAAAATCCCTCCGATTCCACACGCACAGTATCTGGAGTGGAGATAACGGGATGGCCATTCGTGATTAGTCTAACAACTTCGCACAAGTGAACCTTCGGGTCCGAGTGTAGCTGACGTGTACATTGCGAAATAAATCATAGATGTTGCAATTTTCCCGAGTTAAAAATAAAAAGAAAAAACGCGTTGGTTGATGGTGTTTTGACTAAAATGTTGGAACTAAACTTATAAGAATAGGTTTGTGAATTTGTTTTCCGGAATTGAGTTGCAGCAATGGCTTCCAACAATACTACAGTGGCACACCTATGTCCATCTCCAATGAAGCCTACCTCCAATGGAGCCTTCCAGGGAGATAATCCCCTCGATTTCGCACTCCCTCTTGTCATCTTACAGATATGCCTTGTCCTTGTGGTTACACGGACGCTTGCTTTTCTTCTCCGTCCTCTGAGACAGCCTCGCGTCATTGCAGAGATCATCGTAAGTCCCCATTTCCTCTTCTTTTTTTTTCTTTCATATTATTCCCCTTGCTTTTGTTGCTACGATTACGATGTAATTCGATCGATGTTTGATTAACTTTATCAATCCAGTGGAATAAGAAACAGAGCATTCACCCAACTTTTGTTTTTCTCTGCTCTGTTGGCACTTCTTGGCAGGGAGGAATATTGCTTGGTCCATCGGCACTGGGTCGTAACAAAAGCTATCTAAATGCAGTCTTCCCAGCAAAGAGCCTTACGGTGTTAGACACCCTGGCCAACCTTGGTCTCCTCTTCTTTTTGTTTCTTGTAGGTGTGGAATTGGACCCAAAGAGCCTTCGTCGGACTGGAAAGAAAGCCCTCGGTATTGCTGTTGCTGGAATCAGCGTCCCCTTTGTCTTAGGGGTCGGTTCATCCTTCATCCTTCGGCACACAATCTCCAAATCCGTGAATGGACCTCCTTTTCTTGTCTTCATGGGCGTAGCCTTCTCCATTACTGCCTTCCCTGTCTTAGCGCGTATACTGGCTGAACTTAAGCTCCTCACCACTGACGTAGGCCGAATGGCCATGTCGGCTGCCGCAGTCAATGATGTGGTTGCGTGGATCCTACTCGCCCTCGCCATTGCTCTCTCAAGTAGTGGCCACTCTCCTGTTATCACCCTCTGGGTCCTTCTATCTGGCTGTGCTTTTGTAATTGCTTCCATACTCGTATTTCCCCCCATTTTCAAGTGGATGGCCCAACGTTCCCAAGACGAGGTTAATATTTGTGGTACCTTAGCTGCCGTTCTGGCAGCCGGATTTGTTACAGACTCTATCGGAATTCATGCCCTGTTTGGTGCTTTCGTGCTCGGAGTTCTAGTGCCAAAAGACGGGACTTTTGCTGATGCTCTTGTGGAAAAGGTGGAGGATCTTGTATCCGGCCTCTTTCTTCCTCTATATTTCGTTTCAAGTGGATTAAAAACTAATATAGCCACCATTCAAGGGGCCCAGTCTTGGGGCCTATTGGTCTTGGTTATAATTACTGCATGTTTTGGGAAGATTGTTGGGACTATTGTAGTCTCCCTTGCTTGCGAACTGCCTTTCCGTGAGGCTATTACACTTGGTTTCCTCATGAACACCAAAGGCTTGGTGGAACTTATCGTCCTCAACATCGGCAAAGATAGAAAAGTAAGTTTCATCTTCTTGTGAGTAAATTCAACAACTGACATAGTACCAGTTAAAATATGATTTTCTGTAAGACATCCAACCAATACTGTCTGTCTCTATTGACCAAACCCAAGTTCATGTTATTACTTGCTAGAACTCATCTTAGAGGTTTCTTGCATATTCAATGGTATTGACTTCTTCTTTAACAGTAGGCGAACTTTAGCCTTTAGAGGATCGTTCCATCTTATTCATCCAAGAAAGATGTAGTATGTTATTATTCATGTTTATAATGATGTTATATTTGATATCATCTAAATTATACACACTTGTTGCAGGTTTTGAATGATCAAACCTTTGCTATCATGGTTCTGATGGCTCTCTTCACTACATTCCTTACCACACCACTTGTTATGGCCATATACAAGCCTGCAAGAAAGGTGGGCAGGGCTGATTACAAACATAGAACAATAGAGAGAAAAGATTCAAGTACACAGCTTCGGATTCTAGCTTGCTTCCACTGTACAAGGAACATCCCAACATTGATAAATCTTATTGAGGCCTCCCGCGGGACAGAGAGGCGGGAAGGACTGTGTGTCTATGCCATGCACCTCATGGAGCTCTCTGAGAGATCGTCGGCAATTCTCATGGTGCATAAGGCAAGAAAGAATGGGATGCCCTTCTGGAATAAAGGGCAACAGTCAGGCTCTGATCATGTAGTTGTTGCATTTGAAACTTTCCAGCGATTGAGTCATGTCTCTGTGCGGCCAATGACAGCCATCTCGGCATTGTCCAACATACACGAAGACATCTGCACCAGCGCAGAAAGAAAGAGAGTGGCAATGGTGATTCTTCCATTCCACAAGCATCAGAGGCTCGATGGTGCAATGGAGACAACACGAACGGACTTCAGGTGGGTCAACCAAAGGGTTCTTGATCAAGCTCCATGCTCTGTTGGGATCCTTGTTGACCGTGGCTTTGGTGGAACAACCCATGTATCAGCAAGTAATGTTTCTTATTCAATCACGGTTCTCTTTTGTGGAGGACGTGATGATCGTGAAGCACTGGCTTATGGATCACGCATGGCTGAGCACCCTGGTATCAGTCTCACTGTGATCCGTCTTTTATTGAGGCTTAATCCAGTTGAAGAGGTAATCGAAATTGATATGAATGCCAGATCAGACGACAAAGAGAAGGCAATTGATGACGAATGCCTTGCTGTATTCCGGCAGAAAGTCCAGAAAGACGGTTCTATTAAGTATGAAGAGCGTACAATTGGTGATACTGCAGAAATCATTGCTGCTGTTCGAGAGTTTAGTCGTTGCAATCTGTTTCTAGTGGGTCGAAGGATTGAGGATAGTGTTGCAGCAGTATTGGATAGAATAAGTGAATGCCCTGAGCTAGGACCGATGGGGAGTCTGTTGAAATGCTCAGATACATTGGCAACGGCATCAGTTTTGATTGTGCAACAGTTCACACCACATTCTGTTTCTGTTGCATTAGAGGAGCCCGGAAAGTATTCAAGTTCTGACTGATTGCCATTCTAATTTTCTGTTTTACTTTGCTTTGGCCGTTGGTAATCCGTTCATGGTTACACCAAATAAAGAGTTTATAAAACATTCACATACAGAAATCCAATTCCAAACCAACTGATTGCTATTCTATTTCTCTGTTTTTCCTTGTAATTTCCGGTTGTGAGTGTGGGAATTGCTCAAAAATCAAAATGGACGGTTGCGGTTGGTAACCCGTTCATGGTTAACTAACTCCAAACAAAGAATTTATGAAACAATCACATAGAAATCCAAACGAATATTGTCAGTGAATGTTGCCCGTGTACGGTGTGGTGGAAATGAAATTGAGCCAATAAGTGATTCATTTGGATAAGCATTTTGCTTTTGATCTGTGCGATGGAAACAAAATTGAGCACAAGTGTCTAAGCAATTTAGTGAGAACTGCTTTTAAAATGATCACCATCCAATGTTTTGAAAACCAGACGGACCGTCGGACCAGAAAACTGGGAACCGGTCACCTAATCGGTTCTGTTTCACCCAGAACCATCTTTTGGCCAAAACCAATGAACCATTGACCCAAGTGATCAAACCGTTTGAACCATCAACCCAGACAATGGTTTTGGCTGTTTTTCTTTTTTCTTTTTTATTTTTTATCAGAACGGACTGTCCATTTGAATTGAACAGTCAGACTGTCTGACCTAAGAACTAGACCCCTGAACGGTTTATTAATCCGTTGTATTTTAAAAACCTTGCTTTAAAGCCCTAGGTTGAAAATTTCTATACGATATGCCCAACGTGGGGCATCTCACATCGTATCAAAAAGCCTTTGATAAGCCAAATGATACCCAATCATCTTCTGGTATGAATGTGTCCATTGCGACTGTGTTTTAATCGAAATAACCAGATATAAGTGATACAACATTGAAGCCCTTGATAATATGAATATTAGATGAGGAGGGAATTCTCATCCATGCTGGATTGGCTTGTTGATGAATCAACTGAGTGTGAATGATAGACGTACCGTAGAATTTGCATTTAGTGTAAATTGTAGTGGTCAAAAATCAAAATGGTTAAAATAGGGATTGCAACTTTGTAACGGGTATATCCATGAAAATTGCCCTTTCTATTCCTGAATCCACCCAAGCTCCGTTGCCCCAAAATCCTCTAAAACTTGTTTAACTTTTCGACCCAATTTTTCAAACCCCTTGTATTTCAAGCCCATCATGATCCATGAGTTGGCATACTGTATCATTTTTCAAATTTCAATTCAAATTCAACCGCCTAAGTTAGTGCCAATTAAATTCATCACTAATTCTATTTAATGCTCCCAATTCCTTATTTCACATCATTTTAATTATCTCAATCTCATAACTAACTCAATCAATTTCATTTAAATGAGAAAGAGAAAAGAAATGCAAGAAAAATTCTTATTGAACAGCTCAAGGAATGCGGCATTATATTACCAAAAAAAGAATAAAAAATACAGTCAAAATATGAACACCGGAAGAACACAATTGTTAGATTTGGTGTTTTTTGATGATTTAACCAACAGCCCCACTACAGTTTGATTTTTGCAAGCCAATAGACAAAAAAAAAAAAAAAGGAGTGCAGCACTACCAACAAATAAAGTATCAAAATATGAACACCAAAGAACACAATTGTAGATTTGGTAATTTTTTATGCTTCAACCAATAACCAATAGAGTTCGATTTTTTTTTTTTTTTTGGTAAAAGCTAAATTCATTGATATGAAAGAACATAATTTATAGTGGACTACTTTTTTTGGTAAAAGCTAAAATCATTGATTTGAAAGAAAAGAACATGAGTTCTTTCTAAGTTCTCTTGAACTGTATTCACCATACAGTGTATACAGTCAATATAATTTAGCTTTTCTAGAGAAGCTACACTGTTTCTCATAGGTGGGAAACATGAATGTTGTTGGTAACATGATCAACTAGTTTGAAGCTCAAGCTTCTGAACTTCTGGCAGTGCTTCACAGAGCAATGGATCAACTCCCTAAAAGGCGTTGTATATATTTGAAAATTTGATGAATAATAAAGGACAAAATAGATATTTCAATATCTTAATTAATATTTAGTGGTGATATAATTGTCAAAAATTCTAGGGACACTTTTAAGGGATTTTTTAAATTGTAGGAAGTTTTAATCAATTTCTTAAAACTTAAGGGTAATTTAAAAGATGTAGAGTGTAAAATATGTACTGTAGATATATACATTTGCATTCTTTCCAAATTGGCCACATCAAAGTAGCCACACATCAGGAACATTTTGCATGAAAGACAATATAAAATACAAGACATGTTCCTGATGTGCTGCTATGTTCATGTGGCTAGTTGATACCAACTCCCTCAACTGATTGGATCATTCACATAAATTTCATCAGGTTAATTATTAAAAATACCCCTAAACTATCTGACAATTATTTAAGTACCCCTAAAGTTTAAAACCTACTTAAATACCCCTGAACTATCAGGAACATGATACATATTATCCTTTAGTTATTTGACTGTACATTCCGCCTACATGTAAGGTAACCTGATTTGTTTAAAAATTGTAAAACTCAATTTTACCCTTTTCTCGTCAGAACTTGGACTATCCTTAATGAAAGCCTAGACACAAGAAGAATGCTTCTCAGGAACCTTAGGAATCAATCACCTGAAACAATCAATCTCCCAATTATGGCAATGTATCGAGGTCTTCAAGAATTTATTCTCCTTTTTCTCTTATGGCAACTGATGGGGCTTTTAAATCTAAAGAGATTTAAGGAAGATCTTCATACAATTATACAACGCAGAACAATCTTGAAGAAAGGCAAATTTATTCTCCCTAGAGTATTCATTGATTGGTTGTCCTCCCCTGTTCCATTTCAGGGAAATTTGTTCTATTTCCAATGAAAATTTCTTTGATAGATAGATGTCTGATTGTTCATTAGCTTTTGGATTAACTTGGCAAATGGGTGGGTTTGGTTGGATTGGGTAAGGGTTGAATACCAATTCATCCATATTGACCCACCAATCCACCATAACCCATCCATCATCAGTCATTGTTAAATGGTCATAACCCATCCAAACCCACCCCAACATTGACCCATCCATATTGACCCTTAACTACCTTCACCCATACTGACCTACTTACCCTCACCTATAAATACAAAAATGGGTTGGGAGGGCTCACATACCCGAAATAATAATTTTTAAGATGAACATCTCTCTCAAGGTTGTCACATGGCAGAAACGGGTTGTGTTGACTTGTATATCGAAAATAATAAATTTTTTAGAGGAACATCTCTCAAGACTACTACATGGAAAAAATGGGTCAGAGCAACCCATATACTCGAAAATAACAAATTTTGAGAGAATAATCTCTCTCAAGGATACCACGTGAAAGAACTGGGTCGGGTTGACATGTATACTCGAAAAAAAAGCATTTTGAGAAAATCATCTCTTTTAAGACTGCCACGTGATAGAAACGGGTTGGGTTGACCCTTATATCCGAAAAAACATTTTTGAGAGAATCATCTCTCTCAAGATTTCCATGTGACAAAAAACGGGTTAGGTCAACCTATATGCCTGAAAATGCAAAAATTGTAAATAAATACAGAAAATAGAAGAAAATGCAAAAAATACCAAAAAATTCAGAAAATACCAGAAAATTACGAAATATGCAGAAAAATACTAGAAAATTGTAGGAAATGCATGAAAACACCAGAAAAATGCAGAAAAGCACAACAAAAAATTATAGAAAATGTAGAAAAATACCATAAATTAAAAGAAGTAGAAAATACCAAAAAATTGCAAAAAATACCAAAAATTATAGAAAATGCATAACTTTTATAAAAGTTCTTTTGTAAAAGTACTTCCATAAAAGTGCTTTCATAAAAGTACTTTATAAAAGTTCTTTCATGTAAAAGTATTTTTGTAAAAGTGCTTTCGTAAAAGTACTTTTGTAAAAGTCCTTTCGTAAAAGTACTTTTATATAAGTGCTTTTATGCTTTTATAGTTTTATAAAGTGCTTTTGTGTAAAAATGCTTTTGTAAAAGTACTTTTGTAAAAGTAATTTCATAAAAGTACTTTTCATAAAATTGCTTTTGTAAAAGTGTTTTTGTGTAAGATTGCATTTGAATATGAAAGTTAATAAAATCTATTTTATTTCATTTTTAATCATAAAATAAAATGTAACATGGTTGGTTTGGATTTGTAACGAGGTGTGTGCATGATGAGATACTTGAGTTCAAGTCACTTCAACTAATGTATTTTTTAGATTTGGCGAGTATAAACCCAACACATCTTGGCCCGTGCGACCCAACCCAACCAACCAATAGAATGTGTGGAGTTCCAAGGTGGGTGGGTCAAATGGGTTGGGGTCAATATTGCCAACCCTACTTCTACATCTTTTATTGCTTGGCTGTACGGGTGATTTTTTTGCCCTCTGATACATGTGGATTTATATTCACCTCGCATCTATTTGTATGGGATTTAAGTGTTTGTATTTTTTATATCTGTTTTACTCTAAACTAGGAATGACCCCCATAATATGGAGCCACTAATCTGAACTATTTCATTTGTTTTAATTTTTAATTTTTTTATATTAGACATTTAGGCCTAGGTTAGGTTTTTTATTTGATTTAAGAGACTTACAATGTTTTATCTAGAGAATGACTCCATACTAAATATGGGGCAATTACAGTATCTTTTAGTTTGAAATTTACTATTTAACTATAAAAAATTAAATTAGAAAAATTGATATGAGTCTTACATCTTTGTAATTGACAATCTATTCTGACCTATTTTGTTCGAAAATCACTATTAATTTATATTGTTTTTAATATGATTTAAGATATTAAATGATGTCTTATTTGTAAATAATAACCCACTTTAATTGGTATTTACTATTTATTTGATAAATTTATTTGGAGTTATTTATTTTTAAAAGATAATTAGGTTATGCTTCCCAAAAAATTTAAATCAAGTTTGTAATTAATAAACTATTTCATCTAAAAGAATGAAACTCACACCATTAGAAGTCTTTATAATTAATAATTTTTTATTTGAATTAAGAATGGGATCCACATCATTTTGTTTGAGACTGACTGTTTATCAGGTATATCTGATTTGAGTTCCTTAGTTAATTTTAAAGAAATTAAATCACGTTTGTTTTGTAATTGACTTATAGCAGACTACATTAAATTTGTTAGGAATTAAGCTTCTCTAGCCAAAAAAAGAGCTATGTTAACTAAATTGAAAATGTTACAAAGCTAATTGGATTTAATTAATGTTTATTAATTAAGTTTAATCAAG